AGAAAGAGGCTGGCAGGTGTTGCAGGACCAGGGAAGTAGAGGGAGATGAGGGCAGGGCCAGGACCAGAAGCGGTGGTCCTGGAGCCCAAGAAAAGGACTTAGTTGCTCTGGGTGAGAAGGATCAGGAAGCAGTATTGGTTCCCCAGGTGTCTGGGGCCCCGATACTAGGAATGGCGCCGGGCCCAAACTAGGAGTATAGAACGGCGAGCGGGGGTGGGGGTGGGGGTGGGGGATATTAGGGAGTCCCAGAGCGTAGAGCTGCGCTGTAGACTTACCCCAAGAGGCCTCTGTCCCCCTTTTTTTTTAAACAAAATGCAGGCTAGGAGAGTTAGCCGGTGGTGCAGGCCCAGGGAAGTAGAGAGAGGTGAGGGCGGGGCCAGGACCAGAAGCGGTGCTCCTGGAGCCCAAGAAAGGAACTGAGTTGGTCTGTGTGAGAAGGATCAGGAAGCAGTATTGGTTCCCCAGTGGGGCCCCAAGACTAGGAATGGTGCAGGGCTCAAACTAGGAGTATAGAACGGTGAGGCGGGGGATGGAAGGGTGAATGAGGCTTAGGGAGTCCCGGTGCCGAGAGCTGCGCTATATACTTACCCCAAGAGGCCTGAGGATAGTAGTGCAGGCTAGGAGAGTTAGCCGGTGGTGCAGGCCCAGGGAAGCAGAGAGAGGTGAGGGCGGGGCCAGGACCAGAAGTGGTGCTCCTGGAGCCCCAAGAGGCCTGAGGATAGTCTGTATTGATTTTTTAAAAAAAAAATTGTACCTTAAAAATTTTTGAAACAGGATCTCCTGTAGGCCAGACTGATGTTGAACTTGCTGTATAGCCTGAAGATGAATTTGAACTTCTGATCCTCTGCCTCTTCTTCCTCAGTGCTGGGATCACCACCATGTCCAGTTTCATATGGTGTGGGGAAGGAACCCAGGGCTTCATGCATGCTAGGCAAGCACTTTACAAACTGGCCACACGCCCAACTCAATGATTTTTTAAAATGTTTTATTTATTATTTTTATTTTATGTGTATATGTGTATTGCCTGCATGTATGTAAGTGCACCCGTGTCATGCAATGCCCACGGAGGACAGAAGAGACTGTCGGATCCCCTGGAACTGGAGTTATGGACAGTTGTTTGCTGCCATGTGGGTGCTGGGATATGAACTTGGGTCTTCTGCAAGAACAGTCAGTGTTCTTAACCGCTGTGCTATTTCTCCAGCCCCCTCAATGAGCACTTTTTTTTTTTTCTGCCGTTTTGAGACGGTCTCCTTGTAGCCCCAGCTGTCCTAGAACTCACTATGTAGACCAGGCTGGCCTTGAACTCACAAAGATCTGCCTGCCTCTGCCTCCCAAGTGCTGGGATTAAAGGCGCCTGCTACCAGGCCTGGCTATAAGCACTTTAAAAAAAAAAATATTTGAGAGATGATGTTCTGGTATAGAAATGACTACATGTAAATACAATTAGAAAGCTCTCATTTCGTTTTCAAGTGTTTTTGCTTAGGGCTTTGGAGAGACTCAGCTGAACAAATTTTTAGCAGTGAATGATTGTGTAAAATATCAGTGACTATCTGCATATGGTGGCATGTGTCTGTGACCCCAGCACTTGGGTGGTGAGACAGGTGAATCATTGGGTTACATAGGAAGACCCTTTCTAAGAAAGAAAAAGAAAAAAGAAAAAAAAATACCGCAAGTAAATCAGTCAATCAGTAATTTGTTTTTCATATGGCAAACTTATTTTTTTTTCATGTGTTCTGTGTGTTGGACAGTTTACTTTATCCAAGTGCATGGATGCAGTGATGGTGCTGGGAAATTCCCACCTGTTCATGAATCGCTACAATCAGCTGGCTGTGATAGCAAGTCACATTCAGGAGAGGTAGGGGCAGTGCTGTACTGTGAGATGTTTATGTCTGACCATTTCATACATGGAGATAGTGTATTCTGGTTACTCTGAGGGATTTTTTTTTTCCCTTAGTCGATTCTTATACCCTGGGAAGAATGGCAGACTTGGAGACTTTTTCGGAGACCCTGGCAACCCCATTCCTGACTGTAATCCCTCTGGGAGTAAAGATGGAAAGTACGAGCTGTTGGCAGCAGCAAATGAAGTGATTGTTGACGAGATTAAAGATCTGATGACCAAGAGTAAGAGCGTCATTATTATTACTGTCACTTCGCTGTAGTGTTATTTTTGAGAATTTCATAAGGCTTCCTTCAGATGATCTGTCCTGTTTCCTGACTCCTTTTTACTTTGCCTCCATTGTTTTCATCTTACAAGTCAAAACTAACTGTTCTGACTGGGGCTTTGCTGCTGCCCTGTCACTTGCTATTGTGGTTTTCAGACTGTATCAGTCACCTGGAGGGAAAAGGAACTCTGAGACAGGAAGGGGATTGGCAGTATCCTAGGGCTGGAGAGACAGGGAGTGGCTGCACATGGGTCCCACAGTTTCAGATGACAGAAACTGCTACAGTTATATTATGGTGATGGGAGCACAACTGTAAACTTAATAAAAATGAGTTCTAAAGTGATCAGTTTTTTTGAGGTAGGTTTTGTAAAATGTGCGTAACAAAATTTACCACTAAAAAAATTACAAAGCCAGGTGTGGTGGTGCATGTCTTTAACCCAACAAAGCAAGTGGATCTCTGTGAGATCAAGGCCACCTTGGGCTAGCTGTGGCTACAAAGACCCTGTCTCAAGAAGACAAAAAAAAAAAAATTACATTTATTGTCATATACCTTTAATCCCAGTGCTCAGGGGGCAGAGGAAGGCAGATTTTTGAGTGAATTCCAGGCCAGCATGGTCTGCATAGTAAGTTCTAGGACAGCTGGGGGTACATAATGAGACTTCCATCCTAAAAAAAATTCACATTTATTTATTTATTAAGCATGTATGTGTGTGCACATGCACATCCACCTTGTTTAAGACAGGGTCTCTTAGAAGTTTGTGCTGCGTACAGCAGGCCAGCTACCTGTAGCTTCCAGACAGTCTCCTGTCTCTGCCCCCCATCTTGTGGTAGGAGATGGGATTACAGGCAGGTACTCCTGCACTGGCTTTATGTGGGTATTAGAGATTTAAACTCAAGTTTTCATGCTTGTGAGGGAAGGGCTTTACCCACTGAGCCATTGCCCAGTCTTTTTTTAAAATAATTTTTTGTTTTGTTTTGTTTTTTGAGACAGGATCTCACTTACATAGCCCCCGCTGGCCTGGAACTTACTATGTAGACCAGGCTCACTTTCAGAAATCCACCTGCCACTACCTCCCTAGTGCTGGAATTAAGCCCTGATAAACAGGATTTTTTTTTTTTTGGTCTTTTTGAGACAAAGTCTCCCTGTAGCCCCAGCTGTCCTGGATTCACCATGGAGACCAGGCTGGCCTCGAACTCACAGAGATCCACCTGCCTCTGCCTCCACACCCGGCCTAAAAAGGATTTTTAATGTAGAATTACATAACATAAAATTTCCCATTTTTTCTGGGCATGGTGTCACACACCTTTAATTCCAGCATTAGGGAGGCAGAGGCAGGCAGATCTCTGTGAGTTCAAGGCCAGCCTGGTCTACATAGTGAGTTCTAGGACAGCTGGGGCTACAGGGAGACTCTATCTCAAAAAGACCAAAAAAAAAAAAAATTCCCATTTTAACCATTTTTAAGGGTACAGCTCAGGAGTGTTAAGTGTGTCCACACTGTTGCTACTGTCAGCTGTCCCCACTGTCCATCTCCAGAGCCTTCTTATCCTAAAGGGAACACCATGCCCTTTGAATACCAACTCCCATCCCTTCTTCCCCTGCCCCCTAAACAGGTGTATATTTCCAGAAGAGGCTTACAGTTGCTTATTTATGTTTACTGAGAACAGATTGCTATGTTTAAAATCCAATTTGAAAATGTTATCTTTTGATTTGTTCATGAATATTATAGTTTGAAAATTACTTCATTTGAAGAAAAGCTTAAAATTTTTTTCTTTAATGCTATTTATCATTCACAGGTGACATGAAAGGTCAGCACACAGAGACACTGTTGGCAGGATCTCTTGCCAAAGCCCTTTGCTGTATCCTTGTGCTCGAATGTTCCACATGTCTTCTGTAATGAACCTGTTTATCTGCTGGCTTCTAGACCCTTTCCTGTGGCACTCATGGGCAGCTTGGGTGTTGGAAGGCAGCGGATACTAACACATAGCTCCTCTGGGCTTCAGGATGTGTGTGACCAGCTGGAGGCCTGGTAGGGGGGAGAAAGTGCCAGCCTCCATGCCATCTTCCATCCTCTGGCCCTTAGAGGTGCTGCTTCAAATGTGACCCTGCTTCTTACTCAGATAGCCTGGCACTTGTTTTGACTTTGTTCCTTGATTTGATAACTGAAGTACTCATTTGAAAAGCCTTTAATGAACCTGCAGCTTAATTAGTGAGTGGCTATTCTGCATGGGTGAGCAGGTGACCTGGGATGCAGCATAGCCACAAACATTTGGCTTCATGTGTCCTAGGTTCTCAGCCTCCCTGATTTCTTTAATTTCATTGGACATTCTTAAATCCTTAAATTTTTTTTTGTCTTTTTGAGAGAGAGTCTCCCTGTAGCCCCAGCTGGCCTGGAGCTCACTATGTAGACCAGGCTGGCCTTAAACAGAGATCTGCCTGCCTCTGTCTCCCAAGAGCTAGGATTAAAGGCATGCTCTACCATCCCTGGCCTGGCATCCTGAATTTTTTATTCAGGTTGCCTGATCATCTTTGTATGGTTTTCACATTTGTTATCTTATTCGATTGGCTGTTTGCCTTATATGTGGTTTCAGTTTCAAATGTAGGGTGTGGTGGATAATCAGGTATTGGTCATTGTAGTCTGCAGAGGCAAAGGTCGTATTTTCTCAGGTGATTACAGAATGGTTAATCACAGTTCTTGCTGACCCACATGGCCATCACAGTAGATGGTGTGTGCTGGACTTGTTTAGAATTTGAAGCTTTGTTTTTCTGTTACTACAAATGTTTATGAAATAAATTATTATTTTTATATTCCTTAATGTTAATAAATTCAGACATTCACAGAATGAGCAAGGCAGTTAAAGGTAAGAGCCTATGTTGTCTGAAAAACTATAAACCTGTTGGTTTTAATACTGTGTGTTTGGTGGAGTGTTTAAAAAGTGGTTAGAAGCCGGGCATGGTGGTACATGCCTGTAGTCCCAGCACTTAGGAGGCAGAGGCAGGCGGATCTCTGTGAGTTCAAGGCCAGCCTGGTCTACATGGTGAGTTCCAGGACAGCTGGGGCTACAGGGGTATCCTACTTCAAAAAGACAAAAGAAAAAAAAAGTGGTTAGAAAACTACATTTGTTTAACAAGCTACACTGATATTAGTTAAATTATAATATGTTTTTATCTCTTTATAGACAATCAGGAGATGAAAGCAAGGATACTGGTAAGATTATATACAGTTTACAATTGTAGACAGACAACATGGGAACAACGAAGCTAGGCTTGGTGGCATATACCTTTAACCCTAGCACTTGGGAGACAGAAGCAAGTTGACCTCTCTGAGTTTCAGGCCAGCCTGATCTACATAGTGAATTCTAGGCCAGCTAGGGCTACAAAGAGACCCTGTCTCTCAGTGAGAGAGAGGAAGGAAACAGGCTTCCCTACTTCTGGCATCTCCAGCCTCTGGTGGTGGTGCATAACATTCATCCTAGCACTCATGAGGCAGAGGAATGTGGATCTCTGAGATCCAGGCCATCCTGGTCTACATAGCAAGTTCCAAGCCAGCTGGGGCTACAGGGAGACCTTGTCTCAAAAAGACCAAAAAAAATTTTAATTAAGAAAATAAAAGAAATAAAAAAGGAAAACAGGAATGGCTGGGGTGGAGCTCAGTGAAGAACACTTACTTGGCTTGTGCAAAGCCCTGAATTTGATAGTCAAGAGTCCTACTCCCCTCAACCCATCCCAAAACATGACAAAGAAAATGTATTGGGGAGCTAGCTGGGAGATAGCCCAATAGGTAAAGTGCATGCTAAACTTGGGAATCCAAGTTTAGATTACTAGCACCCATAAAAGAGCCAGGCACTGTGGCAGCTCACCTGTAACCCCAGCACTGTAGAAGTGGGGACAGGTGTATCCTGGGGGCTTATTGACTAGCCAAAATGGCAAGCTCCAGGTTCAGTAAGAGACCTTGTCTCGCCCGGCGTGCTAGTGCACGCCTTTAATCCCAGCACTCAGGAGGCAGAGGCAGGCAGATCTCTGTGAGTTTGAGGCCAACCTGGTCTACATAGTGAGTTCCAGGACAGCTGGGGCTACAGGGAGACCCTATCTCAAAAAGACCAAAAAAAAAAAAAAAAAGATGAAGAAACTGGGCATGGTGGCACACACCTTTAATTCCAGCAGAGGAGGCAGAAGCAGGAAGATCTCCATGAGATTAAGGCCAGCATGGTCTACTCTACATAGTGAGTTCAGGCCTCCTGGGTTTACAGAGAGACCCTCAAAAAAAGATGGAGAATAATGGAGGAAGACATACCACACTGATCTCTGACCTCTACACACAAATGTATCTCTGGCCTCCATAGTCACATGCATCAGTGAGCACACACACACACATGCATATACCACACATGCATACATCTACCATGCACAAAAAAGAAAATTTATTTGGAAAGGCATTTTCAGCATTTCTACTTTATAGAAAATTAGTGTAATAATTCCAAAATCAAGCATTTCTTGAGCCTAGGGCTGAAGAAATGGCTCAGTGGTTAAGAGCACTAGCTTCTCTTCCAGAAGACCTGGGTTTGGTTCCCGGCACCCACATGGTGGCTAACAACCTCTGTACCTCCAGTCCCAGGGTATCAGATGACCTTTTCTGGGTCTCTGAGGGAATTGCATGACATGGGTACACTTATATACATGCACAACACTCATACAGATAAAATTTTAAAAAAGGTTCTTGGGCTGGTGCAATGGCTCAATGGATAACAGTGGTTGCTCCCAAGCCTGACACCTGAGCTCAGTCCTTAGGACCAACATGGCAGAAGGAGAGAGCCAACTCTCAAAAATTGTCTTCTGGCCTCCACATATGTGTTGTTGCATGTACTCCCATACACATGCACTTATGCACACATGCACATATATACAATTTTATTATTTTGATTTTATGTGTATGAGTGTATTGCTTGCACATAAGTGCACCTGTGTCATGCGGTGCTCATGGAGGTCAGAAAAAGGAACTGACTGGAGTTATGGATGGTTGTTAGCCACCATATGGGTGCTGGGAATTGAACCTGGGTCCTCTACAGGAGCAGCCAGTGCTCTTAACTGTTGGGCCATCTCTCCAGCCCCATACGTGCAATTTAAAAAAAAATGTGTTCTGTTTTGTTTTGTGTTTTGAGACAGTGCCTCCCTGTTGCCCCAGCTGGCCTAGAACTTGCTATAGAAACCAGGGTGCTCTTGATCTCACAGCGATCTGATTAAAGGGTTGTGCTACCATACCTGATTCGTGATGGCCTGAATTAGGTCCTCAGGACCCACATGGTGGAAGGGGAGAACCAACTCTGACTTCACACACATACACAGGCAAATAAATGTACCTTTTTTTTTCTGAGACAGGGTCTCACTATGTAGCCCTGGCTGGCCTGATACTTGCTATGTAGGCACCTGCCTTTGCCTCCCTAGTGTTGGCAGTAAAGGTATATGCCACTATGCCCAACTGTAATTTTTTAAAAAACTGTATCTATCTAAGGAAAGATCAGGTAGAAAACAGAAGTGGTCTATAAAAGAAGAAATGTCAATAGCTGTATTTTGAAGATTCAGTTTTTAAAAAAATATTTTTAAAGCCGGGCATGATGACGCACGCCTTTAATCCCAGCACTTGGGAGGCAGAGGCAGGTGGATCTTTGTGAGTTTGAGGCCAGCCTGGTCTACATAGTGAGTTCCAGGACAGCTGGGGCTACAAGGAGACCCTGTCACAAAAAAGACCAAAAAAAAATGTATGAGTGTATTGCCTGCATGTATGTGAGTGCACCCATGTCATGCAGTGCTGCAGAGGTCAGAAAAGGGCTTTGGATTCCCCTGGAACTGGAGTTAAGGATGATTTGTAGCCCCCATGTGGGTGCTGGGAATTGAACCTGGGTCCTCTGCAAGAGCAGTCAGTGTTCTTAACCGCTGAACCATCTCTCCAGTCCTGAAGATTCAGTTTTTTGCCTGCTGTTCAGCACGGATAAAAACTTAGTGATTTCCAGTGTTGACAGCAAGGGTGACTAATGAAAGAGGCAGTTTGGTAATTACCCAAATGAAATGTGCACACTCTTTCATACTCACTGACTGTGGGAGGGCAACAGAGCTGTTCAGAGAATATGTGATGATTGCTTAAAACAGAGTTGGGGGTCTGGAGAGATGGCTCAGCAGTTAAAGAGCACTTGCAGAGGATCTGGGTTCAGTTCCCAGCACCCATGTGGTGGCTTACTACTACCTGTAACTCCAATGTCAGGGGACCTAACATCCTCTTCTGGGCATTGCAAGCACCAGGGACATGTGGTACACATACATACATGCAAGCAAAGCCCTCATACACATAAAATTAAAAGAAAAAAAAAAACCACAAAGTTTTGGAAACTGCTTAAATGACTGCTGCAGATAATTGGTTAAATAGTGGATAAACAGTAGAAATCTCTAATACCAGCAGGAAGCATGATAGGTGCAGTCCTGTACCATGAGAAGACACTGCAGTCATCTGTACACGTTTTGTATTCCCTACAGCCAGGGGTTCACTATGATGTTCCAACCAGGTCGCCTCATGACACATGCCTCAGGATTTATCTTCCACATTAAGTAACACCCAACTGTATGACATCAAATTGTTTTCCTCCTGTATGTTATGGTCTGTAAAAGCAGATTGTAGAAACACTGGAGCATCATCCTGGTGTGTGTGTGTACATGTTGGAATGTTGGAAGTATGTGTACACACTCATACAACATGGGTACTCTGTAAATAGGTGTTTATCAGTTTATTAAAGGTCGGGGAAAACGGCTGTCAATAAGTAGGGAGATAAGCTGGAGAAATGGTACTTGTGGGTTACAGTTGGTCATGACAGAGTCTGACAGCTATGTTTTTAGGTGATCAAGGCTGCCGAGGACAGCGCATTGCAGTATATGAACTTTATGAATGTTATCTTTGCAGCACAGAAACAGGTGAGTTGGATCCTTCCTTGTTTCATTACGACAAGATTGGTGTCATTCCGTAGGGAGTTCCTGGCTGCTCTTGCAGAGGACTCTGGTTTGGTTTCCAGCACCCACATGGCAGCTAACAACTGTTCATAACTCCAGTTCCAGGGGATCTGATGCCCACTTCTGGCCTCTATGGGCACCAGGTGTGCATATATGTAGATTCTTATATGTAAGATAAAACTAGGCACTGGAGAGATGGCTCAGCGGTTGAGAGCACTGACTGCTCTTGCAGAGGACCCAGGTTTGATTCCCAGCACCCACATGGCAGCTATGAATCATCCTTAACTACAGTTCTAAGGGAATCTGAAGCCCTCTTCTGACCTCTGTGGCATTGCATGACATGGGTATACTCACATACATGCAGGCGATACACTCATACACATAAAATAAAAATAATAAAATATTTTTTAAAAATCTTTAAAAAAAGAGAGCCTGACACGTAGTAGTTCTCTTCTGAGACAGTCGTCTTCCGCTTGTAATGTTTCAAAATGTCCCTTGCAGAATATCTTGATTGATGCCTGCATGCTGGACTCTGATTCAGGACTCCTCCAGCAGGTATGTTCTCACAGAATGCCTGATGTCGGTGGTGATGGAAAGTAACAGTTCATATATTGAGTACATGGCTGGGCATGGTGACGCATGTCTGTCATCCCAGCACTCAGGAAGCTGAGGCAGGAAGACCATGAATTTTGAGGCCAGCATGGGATACAGAGTAAGACTGTTCCCCCAAACAAAACAAACTGAAGAGCAAGAGCAAGAGAGAGAGAACATACCTTGCTTATATTGAATTAAATAAGATATAATTTAGATGAATTCTATGTTTCCTTTTTGTGTGTGGGTTCTAGGAAAATTTAAATTATATATGTTGCATTATATATGTCTTGGGAAACTGTTAAATGTTGCTTTGTTGTTGGCATTTTTTTTTTCTTTTCTTGAGATCTCATTTTGTAGCCCAGGCTGGGTTCAGAGTCATAGCAATTCTCTTGCTTTAGATAGTGCTTTTTGATCGAAGTTGAAAACTGAGTTTTTTAAAAAAAAAATATTTTATTTATTTATTTTAATTTTATGAGTGTATTGCCTGCATGTATGTGAGCGTACCCATGTCGTGCAATGCCGCGGAGGTCATAAGAGGGCTTTGGATTCCCCTGGAACTGGAGTTAAGGACGATTTGTAGCTGTCATGTGGGTGCTGGGAATCAAACCCCAGTCCTCTGCAAGAACAGTCAGTGCTCTTAACCTCTGAGCCATCTCTCTAGCCCCAAAACTGAGTCTTTTAATTTTACCAGAAAGGGGAGGTGGGTGGAGGGACCCACACCTGAAATAACTGAAGTAACTTGAAAACTTTTGATGACTGCTTTTTGGTCACAAATATTTCTGGACCAGCCAGATGGCTCAGTGGCTAAAAGGTGCCTGCCACCAAGCTTGATGACCCAAGTTTGATCCCTGAGACTCACATGGTGGAGAAAAGAGAGCCAACTCCCACAAGTTGTTCTCTGACCTCCACTTGTGTTCTTGGTACACACACAAATAAATAATAAATGTTAAAAAAAAAGTTAGCATCTGTACCCCATTCAGCATCTTCTTAAAAAATTATTATTTCTGGGCTAGAGAGATGGCTCATTGGTTAATAGCACTGGCTGTTCTTGCAGAAGACCCAGATTCAAAGCCCAGCACCCACATGGTGGCTAACAACTGTCCAGTTCCAGGGGAATCCTCTACCCTCTTCTGTTCTCTGCAGGCACTGTACTTTCACAGTTTCACAGGCATAACACTCATACACATAAAATTAAAATAAATAATTATTTCCTTGAACATCAGTTAAAAGCAGGGGAGGAGGCATCCTTGACTTTAGGCTAGTGCTTAGGCTGAGGGAAGGGAAGAGCAGATAGATTGGGAAGTGCTCAGCTTCAAAGAAAGGTCCTGGGCTTGCTGTTTTTAAGCTCGACTTGACAGTACTGTGTAGTGTCTGTTCATTGTTCTAAAATGTGTTCTTATTTATTTTTTTCTTTTTGGTCTTTGTGAGACAGGGTCTCCCTGTAGCCCCAGCTGGCCTGGATTCCCTATGAAGACCAGGCTGGCCTTGAACTCACAGAGATCCATCTGCCTCTGCCTCCCAAGTGCTGGGATTAAAGGCATGTGCCACCGCACCGGCTAAGTGTGTTCTTATTTTTAACTGACATAAAAATTGCTCCTGTCTGTGGGGTGCCACATTTCAGTGCATGTGCAGTGATCAGATGGGGAATTGTCACGCTTTCAATTTGCTCTGTGTGTTCCCTCTGTCTGCCCTTAGATTCTCATTACATTTCAGCATTAGAATATCAAGGAGTCCAGCTTGATTCTTTTGCTGCCCATTTCAGCTCTCTCAGTGTCCATTAACTCAGGGAAGATCTTTGCTCTGACTTTGAAAGCAGCTCTGCTGCCCCCTCCCTCACAGTGGCACCAGCATAGCCTTTCCTGAGTTCCAGGTGGGCACACTGTGTGGTGCACACTGTTTTCTCTTGACCATCTCTCAGGCATCTCCAGCTCACTGTATCTAGAGCTCTGGCTTTTCCTGTGCAGCCCTGTGGCAGAGTGGTATCCAGTTCACTGGGCCAGTTCACTAGTCTCTGTTGCCATGCTTGCCTCTACCTGCCAGTGTTGTCCTGGCAATCCAAAGGAAGCTTACAGTGTAGATGAGGCTATGTCACTCCCTTGCTCAACAACCCCATCCCACGCACCCTGGCATCCCAGCACACTTCAGCTGACCTCCAAGTCCTTGCCATGGCCTTCTGTTTCCATACACTGGGTGCCGGGGTATGCTTTCCCCACAACTTCTCTTTGTTCTGGGCCCCCCAACTGGCTTCTTGCTGTTGCCTGAAACCACATGTAACACCTGGCCTGCTGTGGCCAAGTATCTTGAGTCCCTACTCAGGATTGCTCTTCAAGGCTGTTGTCTTCCCTAAGATCTCTGCTTCTGTCACCTCCTCACAGAAGCCCTCCCCAACTACCCTCCTCTGTTCTCATGGATCAGTTGTAAAATTGTAACCTGTAATATCATCATGCACTTACTAGCCTGATGTACTCTTCCCCCCCGCCCCTTAAAAGTAGCAAGGAGTTGGGTATGGTAGTTCTTACCTTCAATCCCAGCACTCACACAGATGGAGCTCTGTGAGTTCAAGGCCAGCCTGATCTACATCAAGTTTCAGGCCAGTCAGAGCTACCTAGTGAGGCCTTGTCTCAAAAAAAATAAATAAATAAAAAAAAAAAAGGGGGGCAAGGAAACTAAAGTGAAGCAACAGAAAAGGTCAGAATATGCTGCAAGGGAGCCACACCAGTGGGCCATGTGAGTGAAGATGTGTAAGGGATGAACTCTGGATAGCACTAGAACACTCACTTCATGAGGACAAGACACTTTGTCTCCTATCTACTGCCCTAGCCTGGGAGTTTGGAGCAGAGCCACACTAGTGCTGACGTCGTGGGTGTTAATGAGTAAGCGAGCCTGGAACCAGCTGAACCTTGAAGACCTGCAAGTCCCTGGAGAGCCCAGTCCCTTAAGAAAAGCCAAACCAAGCTGGGCGTGGTGGCGCATGCCTTTAATCCCAGAGGCAGAGGCAGGTGGATCTCTGTGAGTTCAAGACCAGTCTGGTCTACACATTGAGTTCCAGGATGGCTGGGGCTACAGGAAGACCCTGTCTCAAAAAGACCAAAAAAAAACCCAAACCAAACCAAAACAACAACAAAAAAAACCCGAAAAGTCAAACCAGTGCTGGTTTGGCAGCAAACCCTCATGTGTTTTGCAGGCCTGTGACATCACAGGGGGACTTTACCTGAAGGTGACTCAGATGCCTTCCCTCCTGCAATATTTACTGGTAAGGAAACACTAGTGCCCCACCACCTCAAGCACCCAGGGAAGGAAGGAGAGCAAGGAATCACAGGGGAGGGGTAAATGGTGGCTTTGGGATTCCTAGGCTGAGAACAATGGACATCCAGAGCTCTGTAAACTCCTGAAGTTGTGTGCAGATGTCATATGACAACAGCACTTGATTATTGTGGAGTGGGGCCAGTGAGATGGCTCAGCAGGTAAGGGCGCTTATCACCAAGCCTGACAACCTGAGTTTGATCCCCAGGACCTAAATGGTAGAAGGAGAGAACTGACTTCAGCTAATTGTCCTCTGACCTCTACACAGCTGCTTTGGCATGAATGTGCTCACATATATAACATACAAACATGACGTATAAAAATAATTTTGCCAGGTGTGGTGGCACACACCTTTGATCCCAACACTCAGGAGGCAGAGGCAGACGGATCTCTGAGAGTTCAAGGCCAGCCTGGTCTACATAGTGAGTTCCAGGCCAGCTGGGACTACAGGGAGATCCTGTCTCAAAAAGACCAAAAAAAAAAAAAAAATTTTTTTTAAGATGATAATTGTGGAGTGAATAAAGAAGCATTTCTCAATAGACTGAAGGAAATTCTTTTTGACATGCTTATTTTCTGTCTTGAGTATGGGTGTATCATGCCATGGAGTGTATGTATGGTGGTCAAAGGAAACACTTTGGAAGTCAATTCTCTTCCATCCCGTGGGTCCCAGGGTTGGAACAGGCCATCCGTCAGGGTTGGTGGCCAGCACCTTCACCTACTGAGCCATCTGGCCAGCCCTGGAGGAAGTTCTTGATTTAGGGTTTTCCTTATGGTCTCTTGCCTGCTATTCGGTTCTGACTGCTGCTATTTTTCTTCCCTGATTTAATTAAAAGTTCCTTGATTTTTTTTTAACAGTGGGTTTTCCTTCCTGATCAAGATCAGAGATCTCAGTTAATCCTTCCACCCCCGATTCATGTGGACTACAGGGCTGCTTGCTTCTGTCACCGAAATCTCATCGAAATTGGTTACGTCTGCTCCGTGTGCTTGTCAAGTAAGTTCATGTGCAGCTTTGCTTTTTGTCTGTGTTGGAGGAAGGACAAAAAATAACCTGTGGTTTTTTAAATCATCCTGTTTTTTCTTTTTAACAGTATTCTGCAATTTCAGTCCTATTTGCACCACATGCGAGTGAGTATGTCTTCAGGTGATGTGTGGGCGGCTGGTGCTGTCCATTGGGGCATTGAAGTGTTCTCTTTGTGTCATTTCAGGACAGCCTTTAAGATTTCTCTTCCTCCTGTACTGAAAGCCAAGAAGAAGAAACTGAAAACATCCATGTGATGAACAAACACAAACTTTCTCATCTCTTGAATCTGTGAATAGACATCATGGCAGACTCTTCATCCTCAGTCTAGCTTAAGGTTTCTGGCTGGACACCTTATCCAGGAAAGGGGAAAAGCACAGAGTTCGGATTTGTTTTTTTTTTTTTTTTTTTTTTTTTGTCTTTTTGGGACAGGGTCTCCCTGTAGCCCCACCTGTTGGAATTCACTATGTAGACCAGGGTGGCCTTGAACTCACAGAGATCTGCCTGCCTCTCCCTCTGAGTGCTGGGATCAAAGGCATGCACCACAAAGCCAGGCTTTGTTTGTTTTAAAGTAGCAGTTAGTTACACAGTCAGGCCAGCTGGTACTGTTGGTTCTTTGTTCTCTGGTACTGGGTGTTGAAACCCCAAGCCTTGCAGTGCTAGTTGAGTACTCTACCATGGGTTACAGCCCAGACTCTTAGAATTTTTTTTTTTTTTAATGGGATGATCCTTTGTCAAAGTCAGCTTGTTGTGACAGATTCCAGGTTTTCCCAGTCTTACTATGTAGTATGTGAAGTTTGAATTCAGCTCTGGAAAGTGGCAGCAGAGTCACAGCAACAGTCATGTTGCTAGGGTGTATGCCTGGAATCTCAGCACTTGGGGGGCTGTGCCAGAAGGATTTCTAGTCCAAGTCCTGCTCAGGCTATATATGAGATCTGTCTCCAATCTGTCTTTAAAAAAACAAGAACAAAACAAAACCAATCGTACTTTGAATTAGACATTTTCTTTAACAGTAGTCAAAAGTAGCCAGCTATGGTCACACATACCTTTAATCCCAACACTTGGGAGGCAGAGGCTCTCCCAAGTGAGAGCCTTGTGAGATCAAGGCTCTTGTGAGATCAAGACCAGCCTGGTCTACATAGTGAGTTCATAATGAGACCCTGTCTCAAAAATGCAAACAACAATCAATTGAATGTAAGCAAATTCTTATTGTCTAACTTGAGACTTAGATTTAGATATTAGCAGTTATTTATTCATCTGATAAATCAATATATTCACACAAAGTTAACCAGATAATAATAGTTGTCATCAAAAGTGTACAAAATCTCATTTTAAACAGACATGGAGCAGGTGCTAGGGCTGGTAGCCAAGTTCCGAAGAAGCAAATAAGGAAGAGCTTGTTGGTGAGAGCTAATGCTTGGGGTCAGGGAGCCATTTGCTGGGGAAGAGGGACTCTAGTGTTATTTACAGACAGAATTCTTTTTTTTTTTTTTTTAAGTAGAAAAACAATATTGAAGAACTGTTGAATACTGGAAATGTTCATGAGTTCAAAAGAAACATTTGTAATTTCAACAATAAAAATTTTATTTTGGGGGCTGGAGAGATGGCTCAGTGGTTAAGAACACTGTTCTTGCAGAAGACCTGGGTTCAAATCCCAGCACCCACATGGCAGCCAACAACTGTTGGTAGCTCCAGTTTCAGGGGATCCGAAACTGTGTCCTCCACCGGCATTGCATGACATGGGTGCACGTGCCTACATGTAGGCAATACATGCATACACATTAAAAAAAAAAATTAGCCTTTAATCCCAGCACTCAGGAGGCAGAGGCAGGCGGATCTCTGTGAGTTCAAGGCCAGCCTGGTCTACATAGTGAGTTCCAGGCCAGCTGGGGCTACTGGGAGACCCTGTCTCAAAAAAGACCAAAAAAAAAAAAAAATTTATTTTCATATGTGCTAATTTTCCTTGAAGTAGTTCTCTAAATATTTGTATTTAACAGTTTCCATGGACATTATTATGTGTCTTGTCATAGCACAGTGTATGAAAGATCTAAGAAATGTGGCTGTTTTTTAATTTTTTTACATTTATTTTGTATGCGTATATGTGCACGTGTGTGTACAGTATGACACAATTGCCACAGTTCCTGTGGAGGTCGGGACAACTTGGGACAGTTCCCTTCTACCATGTGGATTATGGGGATTGAACTCAGATCATCAGGCTTGGTGGCAAGCACCTTATCTGCTGAGCCATTTCATCAATCCTGTTTTAAGTGTATTTGCAAAAGCCCATTTGTATACAAAACTTTGCATGTGCTGGGTGTGGTGGTACACACCTTTAATCCCAGCACTTGGGAGGCAGAGGCAGGTGGATCTCCATGAGTTCAAGGCCAGCCTGGTCTACATAGTGAGTTCCAGGACAGCTGGGGCTACAGAGAGACACTGTCTCAAAAAGACCAAAAACAAAACAAAACAAAACAAAAAAAACCTTTGCATGTAAATAAGACAAGTTTTCTCGTTAGTTTTTTTGGTATGTATTTTGTTTTGTTTTGAGATGAGGTCTCAGTATGTATTCCTGGCTGGCCTGGAACTATGTGGACCACTCTGGTCTCCAACTCACAGATTCCCCTCCTCTGCTTCCCAAGTGCTGGACTTAAAGTCATGCGACACCACACCCAGCTGAATTTTCTCTATAGATTTTGTCAGAAGCTGAGTCTTTTGAGTCTTTGGTTAGATAATTTCAGGTAAATTTTTGTATTTCACATTTGCCATCTTGTTAACAAATACACAAAGATCTTGGTGGTCACTTTACAAATATTTGTTAACTCTTGAGTTTGAGAATTGATTTTTTTTAAAAGTACAGGGCTGGGAAGATGGCTCGGTGGTAAAGAGCACTTCTCAACCATGAAGACTTGAGTTTGAATCTCAGCATTCAGATAATTAGCCAGGCTCCATCTCTGGCCTGGATTTCAGTTTCTCCTGAGTTAATTGACTCAGCCTTGAAGAGGCCCAGTTGTGGCTCAGTCCTAGAACAACCCCAGGCAAACTCAAATTGTTTTGTGATGATTGTTTGCAAGCATGATTTTTCAGGTGACCCTGCAGCCATTTTCATCCAGGCTTGAGGGGAGCTTGAAAACATCTTTTTTTTTTTTTTTTTTTTTTTTTTTTTTTTTTTGGAGACGGTCTGTCACTATATAACCCTGGCAGATCTAGAACTCGCTATGTAAACTGACTAGGCTGTCCTCCAACTCACAGAAATCCTCCTACCTCTACCACCCAAATTCTGGGATTAAAGGTATGTGCTGCCTCCATGCCCAGCCTAACATATTCATTTGTGTAAGGTCTTTGCCCAAGGCCTGGAGGCTAAATATAGCCAGAGGCTCTACTCCAATCCCTGAGTGCTAGAGATCTATTGCTCCAGGCTGTGGGAGCTACTGAGAGGACTCCAGCTGGAAGCTTATGGCTCTGGATTTTAACCAACCACTGGCCCTGGCACAGCAGAATTGTAATCATTGACTTCCAAAAGCAGTATAGGATGTACCCAAGGACAGCAACAAGCAGCAGGAAGTGTTGCTCTTTAGTGTTCATACTCTCCTACAGGCTGCAGTGCTGGGACCTTAAGGCACACAGTGACAGTGTCACACTCTCCTACAGGCTTAGCCATGATCCCCAGCCTTCAGCAGCTACAGTATTACAGCTCTCAGACCTAGGGTATCTAAGACTCTTGGCCCTTCAGGCTGGACAGCTCTCTGGACCTTTCTCAGTCACCACGGCCTGCAGTTCATATCTGGTTCTTCATAGCCACCTATCCACCAAAGCCACAGTTATCTGTCTATTCTTATCTGTACTTCACCTTCTCTCACTTCCTGCCTCCCTAGCCCCATTTCTGCCCCATGCGGGTATCCATGCAGGTATCTCCTTAATTCTGTTACTAGTTCTGCTGGCTGTCCTGATAATGAAGATGAACCAGTCAGTACATGAGCAGGATCCTAGTTGCTGCCTGGTATTATATAGGTAGAAAGGGGTTATGGCAAGGTATCTGTACCAATAAGAAGTCCTTTATGTAAAGAAGGACTGTGTTTGCACCAATCAAGGGACAGTCTATGTTTTGTCCTTTTGAAACAGGGTCTCCCTGCAGCCCCAGCTGGCCTGGAACTCACTATGTAGACCAGGCTGGCCTTGATCTCATAGAAATCTGCCTGCCTCTGCCTCCCAAGTGCTGGGCTAAAAGGCATGCACCACCAGGCCTGCTAAGGGATGTCTTTAGAACCATCCTTGCACCAATCACAGCAGTTCCCCCAAGTAAATGGAGAACTCTGTTTTCTCTAATCATCACTTTCTGCTAGGACTATGGGAAGTGCTCTGTCTGGCTCAAAGGAAAATGGTGCAGGGTCATGTAACATTTACAGAGGCTTGAGAAAGCAAAGAGTCCCTGGCAGCTGGCCCCTGCTGGCGTAGCACCTTCAGGAGCTGGAGGTTGTTCTGCCAACAGCAGCTGTGGTTGCTGTGAACCTTGAAAGCTGGTGCTGGCAGACGGGTGGTTGAGCTGGCTGCTTGGCTGGTAATCCTTCATTCATGCTGATAATCCTGCTGGGGCGCCAGGGCATGTCAGACAGCTGTCAGGAGGATAAACTGCCCCAGCTCAATGGTCAAACTTACTAAAGGAAAATAAACAAGAGGGGTGCTAACTTTTGGGGCCCCACTGGAGGGGTACCCCAGCTGCCATACCTGATACTCCCGTTCAGCTTGTAAAAGTCAGATTGGTTATTGCCTTAATTCTGTAACAGCAGTTAGGGTTACCTCTTGAGAGGTAAAAATTGAATGGGTAATTTACAGTAAAAAGACCCCAAAGAAAAGTATCCCAGCCAGGCGTGGTGGCACATGCCTTGGCCTTCAGCACTCAGGAGGCAGAGGCAGGCGGATCTCTGTGAGTTCAAGGCCAGCCTGGTCTACATAGTGAGTTCCAGGACAGCTGGGGCTACAGGGAGACCCTGTCTCAAAAAGACCAAAAAAAAAAAAAAAAAAAAAAAAAAGACGTTTAAGCTGGGCGTGGTGGCGCATACCTGTAGTCCCAGCACTTGAGAGGCAGAGGCAGGCGGACCTCTGTGGGTTTGAGGCCAGCCTGGTCTACATAGTTCCAGGACAGCTGGGGCTACAGGGAAACCCTGCTTCAAAAAAGGCAAAAACAAACAAACAAACAAAAAAACCCATTTCTTAGTTGGATGGAAGCCAAAATGTCCTTGGGCCTTGTGCCAGCCCCATTCTTGCCAGAGGCCAGAGATGTCAAAAGTATTTGGGGGATCTGATCCCTGATCTGGTTCCTAAATGATTTTAGCATTGCCTCTTCTGAGTGGGGAATATTAGAGTAGCAACAACTCCTGATCAAGAGAATAGAATCTCTGGCCTGGCTAACATTCCAGCTGGGTTGGATCAATTACCTGGCCAAGGGATCACCCCTAGGAAGGCAGACTTACTTTAAACCATGCTAAAGAGATAAGCAGAATAATTTTTCCTTTAATGAGTGTATTAGACACTTTTCTGTTGCTGTGATAGGAACACTAACCAAAGCAATTTATAGAAGGAAGAGTTTATTTGAGCTTACAGTTCCAGGGGAATTACAGTCCATCATGGCAGGGAAGCATGGTGGCTGGAGGTGGCTGGAGCAGGAGCAGCAGAAGCTAAGCTCTCACATCATCATGCAGGCACAGGAAGCAAGAGAGCAACTGGAGATCTGGCAAGGCTTAAGAACTCTCTAAGCCCACCCCCAGTAACGTGCTTCTTCCAGGATAGCCACACCTTCTAAAACCTCCCAAAACAGCGACACCATCTAGGGAAAAAATGTCCAAATACTTGGAGCCTATGGGGGACATTTTCTTTCAAACCATCACAAAGATACAGTACTTTTCCCTCCCAGAATTCCCACCCTTTAGCAAAGTACCTATGAGCCACCATGATATTTGGTTGGGTCCACTTGCCCTTCTGAGGCCTGAGTCAGGAATGCACAACTTTTCCTTTTTCTTTTTTGTCACTTTCAGATGCTGGCCAGAACCTAACTATGCCTTTTATGACACTTTTTAAAATTATTTTTATTTTATGTGTATGCGGGTATTGCCTGTTTTATGACACTTTTAAGCTTTCTTATTCTTAAAAAAAATTTATGTGCATGAGTGTTTTATCTGCATGTATGTAAGTGCACCTGTGTCAGGAAATGCCCATGGAGATCAGAAGAGGGTGTTGGATCTCCTGGAACTGAAATTATGCACAGGTGTAGCCACCATGTGGGTCCTGGGAACTGAATCAGGGTCCTCTGCAAGACTAGACAGTACTCCTAAAGGCTGAACCATCAATCCAACCCCAGGCTTCCTTACTCTCTTTAAAGGCACCCCCCCACCCCCATGTGGCTGCTTGTGTCAGACCTCAATGCCTGCTTAGATGGCATGGCTTTCCTCTCTCCTCCATTCTCCTCTGGGCAGCTGCTGGGTTTACAGCTTGCCTGACCTGGGGGTTTTCTTTAAACTAACAAATCTTTTTAAAAAAACCCCAAACCCGCCTTTAATCCCAACACTCGGGAGGCAGAGGCAGGCGGATATCTGTGAGTTCAAGGCCTGCCTGGTCTACATAGTGAGTTCCAGGACAGCGGGGGCTACAGGGAGACCCTGTCTCAAAAAGCCCCCCCCCCAAAAACAAACAAAACAAAAAAAACAAAACACCCAAAACCAGAAAACTGAAAACCAAATCAGTGGTCTGGCATGATAGTTGAGCTTGGCAGGTAAGGGCACTTGCCACCACACATGACAAGCTGAATTCCATGTCCAGGGTCAATATGTTGGCAGGACAGCACTGACTCCTGGAAACTGTCCTCATTCAGAACTCACACAATTCCATGAAGGATTTTTACATTTTTTTAAATGAGGAACTGAGGTGTAGACAGGCTGAAAGACTTGTCTAAAGGTACTCAACAAAAACTATGTGAGAGAAAGCAAAATCCAGGCTGTCCCACCTCAGAGTCTGCATGCCTCTTCTTCAAACTATAACTGTGTGTGTGTGTGTGTAGACCAGAGGTCAGCCTTGGAGTTCCTCAGGAGGCATCCACCTTGCACTGCAAGCACTTTACTGTCTGAGCTATCTCCCCAGCCCCCAAACTATAACTTTTCTTTTTATTAAATTACATTTTATTTATTTATAGAGATTGTGCCTGTATGTATGGATGCACACGTCCCATGTCGCAAGTGTGGAGGTCAGAAGACAACTCGCAAAAGTCAGTTTTTCCATCATATGGGTCCCAGGGATCAATTCATGTTGTCAGGTTTGACAAGAGCCTTTACCTACTGAACCATTTCGCCAGATCCAAACTACAATTCTTTAGCGTGCTTCGGAGGCTATTGACTTGGACACCCCTTTGACCCCTACCCACAAACAATTCTAATACTTTTGCACCCGTCCTACCGTTGGGGCCAAGCCTTACGCATGATCTTTGACTCTGTTTTGCTAGTGCCGAGAATGAAATTCAACAGCGCGGGGCACCTACATCACAGCAGCCTCTCCGACCTTTACTATCCGCCCTCTAAGAGCCCCATAAGTTTATGACGAGGCCGGGCGTGGTGGCGCACGCCTTTATTCCCAGCACTCGGGAGGCAGAGGCAGGCGGATCTCTGTGAGTTCTAGGCCTGCCTGGTCTACGTAGTGAGTTCCAGGGCAGCTGGAGCTACAGGGAGACCCTGTCTCAAACAGACCAAAAAAAAAAAAAAAAAAGTTTATTACGGTGCAGCCAGCAGCCTTTCTGGAGGTCCGAGCTTACAAACTCGCCCTAGCTGTGTGGTTTCTTGATCTCTCTGGACTGGGAGAAACCCGGGTGTCTGACGCGGACCCAGCAGAAACACACAAAACTGAACCGCGCCCTACAGGCGGAGTCGGGATGCTCCGGCGACGGACTCTCTCCCTAGACCGATCACGGCGCGCCACTCGCCGATTGGTAGTTGCCATGGCACCCGGAGGGTTCGCGGGTCAAAATGGCTCCGGGCTCTTGCCCTAGCCCAATCACGGCGTGCCGTACGCCGATTGGTGGTTGCCATGGTATCTGGGGCGGTATCTGAGCAAGATGGCGACGGGCTCTCTCGCTCTGGACCAATCACAGAGCACCGCTCGCACATTGGTGGTTGCCATGGCTGCGGAAATTCGCTTGGCAAGATGGAGGCGGCCCGTCGGCGGGTCCTCCTGCGTTGTCTCACCGCGATTCCAGGCTTGTGAGGCGGACTTGGCCCCGGGCATGGGCTCCCCGCCGCCGCCCCGTCTGCTGTGGAGGCTCCTCCTGCTTCACGACGTCCTGAGGCTTCTGCGCGGGGACCCGGGTGTGTGCGGCGGGGTAGGGCCTGCAGGGCCCGGCCTGAGGGAACCTGGGGCACCACCCGGAAAGCCGGCACAGGCTCCTAGGGCACGGGTTCCGCACCTCTCAACCCCTCCCACCCTACCTTCTCTCCTAGTTTTCATTCCTCCTTTCATCCGAATGTCCGGCCCTGAGGCCAGCTCGTCCCTTGTCGGAGGCAACGAGGATGTCACCGTGTCCGTGACTCCGCTGCAGATCGAGGAGGGTAAGTCTGGCTTTTCTTGTGGGGAGCTGCTGTCCTCAGTAGAGTAGGGATGGAGAAGGATAGGGCCGGGTGTGAATACTGTAGACCGAAGAGGACTTGTGGACAGGGTCTGGAAATGTCAAAGAGATTAAAATAAAAATCCCAGGAAACGGGGCGTGGTGGCGCCTGCCTTTAATCCCAGCACTCAGGAGACAGAGGCAGTTGGAGGCTCCGCGAGTTCGAGGTCAGCCTGGACTACATAGAAAGTTTCAGAGCAGGCTGTATAGTGAGAACATAACAAAAAATGGAAAAAAAGAAAAAAGAAAAGGAAGAAAGAAAAGAAAATGGCTAGCATTCCTTCGACTAGTTCCCTGAGATTGGCGCACAGCACCTCATTGTTCTCAAGAACAGTATTGTTTTACATTCTGTTTGATAAATGAAGAGCCTGAAGTTCAGAAAAGGTGCCATTTGTCCAGCCTAATGCAGCTTGCTGGGGCTTTCATCCTAGGACTCCACTGCACCCTCTTAGTTGCTGGACCCTGATGCCTTGCATTCTAACCTCTCCCTTAGGAGTATTGCCGGTTCCGACTTGTGGCTTTCTCAGCAATGACACAGGAGACTGGAATGTGACTGTGACTCCTGGTATGGTAAGTCCTGAGGCAAAAGTTCTGAAGCTCCTGTACAGGCCTCCTGCTTACAGTTTCTACAGTGCTTTGTGTGTCTGTGTGTTCATGTGTGTGTTGTTGGGTATCAACCCAGGTCCTGTGCATGCTAGGTTAGTGCTTTACCACACCCTCAGCTCCACAGCACTTTTATGATTTGACATCCTGTGCACCCTTCTTACTATTATGGTAGAATTGTGAGCTATCAGTGCAGATACACATCCGGATTCTTACCCTAGGGCTATGGGTATTTGCATTACAAGGAACTCTGTGAATCTACATGTGGAATTCTGTGTATATGTGCATTTTTCTGATGTGAGGTTATCACCTTCTGCAAATAATCAAATGGATCTGGGACTAAAGAAAAATCTTCATAGGCTAAGTGTGGCTATGCAGGCCTGTAATCCCAGCGCTGGGGAGGCTGAGGGCAGGAAGAACAGAAGTTCAAAGCCAGTCTTGGATACATAATGAAACTCTCAAAAATTCAGAACCACTGGTGAAAGAGATGGCACAGTGATTAAGAGCACTGGCTCCTCTTGCAAAGGATCCAGGTTCGGTTCCCAGCATCCATATGGTGGCAACCTTCCATAACTCCAGTTCCAGGAGATCTGATGTCCACTCTGACTTCCACTGGCATTGCATGACATGGGTGCATTTACATACAGGCAAAACACTCATACACATAAAATAAATAAATAATAAAAATCAAAATTAGCTGGGTATGGTGGGACATGACTTTGATATTAGCAGAGGCAGGCAGATCTCTGATTTAGAGCCCTGGCTGGTCTACATAGCTAGTTTCAGGCTAGCCAGGACTGCATAGAAAGACCCTGTCTCAAAAAATAGGGGTCAGTGAGGTCGCTCAGTAGGTAAATGCTCTTGTTGCCAAGCATGATGACCTGAGTTCTGTCCCAGGATCCACAGGAAAGAGACCTAAATTCAATCCCAGGATCCACAGGAAAGAACGAATTTGGGGCTGGAGAGATAGCACAGTGGTTAAGAACACTGACTGTTCTTGCAGAAGACCCGGGTTCAAGTCCCAGCACCCACATGGCAGCTAACAATTGTCTGTAACTCCAGTTTCAGGAGATCTGACAGTCACTTCTGTCCTTCGTGGACATTGCATGACACGGGTGCACTTACCTACATGCAGGCAATATACTCATACACATAAAATAAATATAATAAAGCCTGATTCACCTACCCATTTCCCCCGCTGGTCTCTCCTCCTAGTTTGGGTCCTGCCCCATTCCTTGTCTTGGGTCCCCAGACACCTGGGGAACCAATACTGCTTCCTGATCCTTTTCATCCAGACCAACGTAGTGCCTTCTCTGGGCCCCAGGAGCACTGCTTCTGGACCTGGCCCCGCCCTCAATTCCCTCTGCTTCCCTGGGCCTGCACCACCCTCCAGCCTCTTTCTGGAATGGGGGCGGTGACCTTTCCTCTTCCTGATCCTTTGCATCCAGACCAACCCAGCTCCTCAGTACAGTTCCCAGGAGTCCTTGGGGCCTCTTCCTGCCCCATCTGCCTTTGCATCTCTGGGTGGCACAGCTACCAGCTGCTCTAGACCAGCATCTTTCCTGGGCTAGGCTCCTAGCCAGTCCAACCCCCAAATTCCTGAGGCCAAAATCGTTCCTGGAGGGATCCAGACCTTAGGAGAAAGCCTGAAAACATCTGACCCTCACCTGAATTGGGCCTCTGTGATAACTCCTGAAGACAAAAGCAATCCAGCCACTCCAATATAAAATCAAAAGAGAGAACCAGAAGCTTAGATGAACCAGCTTTTCATGCCCAAAAAGTAAACCACGGGGGCC